CCAGGTCAACAGGAAAAAAGAGCCACGTGGTTGTTAAACTCTATATATCACATCAAATGGGCTGATAATTTGATGTACATTACTTCATCCTAATCTCTGCGACCGTTTCTCTCTTCCTACACTTGTGTTCTTTCCATCCCCCCTAGAACTAGAAATAGCCGTGCAGGAAGCATACACTGAGTACACGTTTCTCTTCTCGAATTTCTCTGGCTGAGAATCTCAGGGACTAAAGTTAAACAAGCTGATTCCAGGGCCTGGTACAGACTGGACGGTACGCAGGGTAGAGGCCGAGCCGGAACCAGGCCGGGTCACCGCGACGCCCACTCGCTGACCCCGGGCTGCTCGCTTCCCGTCTGCAACTGGGGTCGGCGCAGCCCGAGTCCAGGGCGGAGGGCAGCGGCTGATGGCAGCGAAGGGCCTGCTCACCCTGTGCCCCAGCCTCGTACCTGTAGAAGAGGAGCCTCGGGCACGCGGGGAGTGGGAACCCGCAGAGACCCTCGCCCTGGGTAGGGTCCCCAAGCCCGCCCCCCGGTGGGCGCAGACGCTCACCGCAGCCAGCGCCCGCAGCCAGCGCCCGCGCCCAGGACGAGGGCAGGACTCGGACTTCCTCCGGAAGAACGTCCGACGTCCACGACACGTTCTCGCCGCGCGGGCCACGCACTCGCAGACGTCGGCGGGCGGACGCGCTTTGCGAGCCGGACGCTGGGAGTCCGCCAGCGGGCCCCCGCCCCGAGCGCAGCCCTGGCCACGCCCACGAACACCGCCCCAGCTCGCCCTAGACTACGCCCCGCCCCCGAGCGCAGCCCGGCCCCTATCCCCGCCCCGCCCCGCTCCCAAGCCCGACCAGTCAGGATCTCTCACCGCACTCGGCGCCCCGCCCCTGCCCTGTCCCCGCCCCCGGGCTCTGCCCAGCGCCAGCCCGGGCCCTCGTATACGAGCGGGACCCGGTGGCTCCGCGCGGTGGTGGCTGGAGGGATTGTAGTGCTGGGAAGATGGGGGCGCCCCTGCCCGCGCCTCACGTCTCCTCCACCCCCAGGCGGGTGTCCAGGGTAACGTCTGAAGGTCGCGGCATAACAACGATAAAAAGGATGAACTATTGATGCACCCAGCAGCCTGTGCGAGTCTGCAGAGAATTATGAACGAAAAATGCCAATCCCCAAATGGTCCGTCCTGTACGATTCCATTTATGTAACATTTTCGAGATGAGAAATTCTAGAAACGGAGAACAAATAAGTGGTTGCCAGGGTTTGGGGGGCGGGTGTGATTATAAGAGGGACCTTGTGGTGATGGGAATGTTCGGTGTGTGACCGCATCCTAGTGGTGACGTTGTACTGTGGTTTGGCCAGATGTTTCTATTGGGGAGGCTGGGTAAAGAGCACATAGGATGAAGGTTCAAGGCCAAGGAGAGCCCCTAGAAGGCAGAGAGGTACTGAACCGTAGCCTGCTGATGGGTGGGCGAGGGGTGCTGGTGAGCAGTTTGGGCTAATTTTCTCCTTTTCCCCTTTTCCAGCACTTTCTGGCTTGTAACACCTCATTTGGTAGCCCACCTACCATTGCGACCCACCCAAGGACCCTCCCCAAATGCTCTGCCTTGATTTCCGGTGTCCTGGGATGGCCCTATAGAGCAGAAGGCATATTTTCCCCGCTTGTGTAATGTTCCTAATGAAAATAACTGCAGCTGCTGTTTGCACACCAGCGTCAGGGGGTGGTCTGTCTGCAGCTGATGTTTTCCTTGGGTTCAGAAGTGAGGACATGGCCTCGCTGTGACATGCTCTCATGCCAGCAGGAGACAGGCCACCTTGTCTTGTGAGCCCAGGAGGTCCTGGGGGACGTTTTCATTTTAGAATGACCTTTATCCGAATGAAAAGTTGTAGAGGCATTTCCGAATGTATTAGAACGTCCTCAAAGATGAAATTTGGTTGTTCTCCCCCCTTTCTTGTAAGACTCACTGAGATGATGTCCTCATATCATCTTTGTGTCTCAGAAAGTAAATGAGTGCAACTAAGAAAGGTAGGTGTAGGCGCTCTGAAATAACTGAAGGTAGGCTTCCTTACAAGGAGGGCGAGTGACGCTGTTGTCCCGTGGGAGGGGTGTGTTCACGTCTTTTGTGCTACGAGGACCTATAAGGAAAACAGCCAGACCTCCGGGTGGTGTGGATCCCGTGGGAGGACCCGGTAACTGTGGAGCAGCAGGTGCTGGAACCAGCCCGGGAGCCGTCCAGTCCTTGGTGTGGGAATGAAAGCGCTGAGCTCTAAGAGAGACTAAGATGCGACATCACCTCTGAAAACCAGCAGGTGCAGGGAGCACCTGGGGCCGCGCTTTGGTTCAAGGCCGCCACGCGACAGCACCATCTTGTGGCCGCTCGAGGAATCACAGGTGTGGATGGAGCGTTGCCGGTGGGGAAGAGCAGCTGGCCGGCCCTCCTTCCCTTGGCCTTCAGGATGTTGGAAGAGCCAGTGATTGATTCAGTAGGAGCCCGTCCGGCAAAGGGAAATAACAGAACTCCGTGCTAATCTGGCATTTACTGCAAACAAATAAGATGGAACCGCATTTGTATCCTGAGTCCAAGGAGGAGGTGGTGCTCTTAAAACGAGATAAATAGGTTTAGCATCAGCAATAAGCATCGCCTCTAGGGGCTCCCCTTGCTGTGAAGAAATGCAGGCACAGGCTTAGGCATCCCAGGCAAGTGGGCAGTTAAGCCAGCTGTATACTACCTTTTCTCCCCAACTCCCCCTGTTTGTGTTTCAGATGAAAGTTAACATCGAGGGCTACCTTAAGACTAATCGAAGTAGCCTGAACTTTCTCCTAGAGAAGTAGTTACTTTTGGTTTTATTTAATGACTTTTCTTTCCCTCTGCTAACAGCATCCCCTTTCTTTTTGGAAACAAACTCTTCCCAATAACATAGTTATTTTTTTTATTGTAGTAAAATCTGTATAAGATTTGCCATTTCAACCATTTTAAGTACACAATTCTGTGGCATTAATTACATTCACAATGTTATGCAACATCACTAGTTGTATTTCCAAAAATTCTTCATCACCCCAAACAGAAACTCAGTAATCATTAAGCAGTAACTCCCCCCTCCACCCAGGTCCTGGTAACATATAATCTTCTTTCTGTCTCCATGAATTCGCCTGTTCTAGATATTTCATACAAATGGAATCATACAATAGGTGGCCTTTTGTGTCTGGCTTACTTCACTTAGCAAAATGTTTTCAAGGTTGGCCTTCCCTGGCGGCGCAGTGGTTGAGAGTCCGCCTGCCGATGCAGGGGACATGGGTTCGTGCCCCGGTCCGGGAAGATCCCACATGCCGCGGAGCGGCTGGGCCCGTGAGCCATGGCCGCTGAGCCTGCGTGTCTGGAGCCTGTGCTCCGCAACGGGAGAGGCCACAAAAGTGAGAGGCCCGCGTACCCCAAAAAAAAAAAAAAAAAAAAAAAAATGTTTTCAAGGTTCATCCGTATCGTAACATATATCAGAGCTGCATTCCTGTCTATGGCTGAGTACACTTCCAGTTTATGAATAGACCACATTTTGTTTATCCTTTCATATGTTGATGGACACTTGGGTCATTTGGCTATTGCGAATAATCCTGCAATAAATATTGGTGCACAAGTATCTGAGTCCCTTTAAAAAAATCCTTTGGGTGTATACCTAGGAGTGAAATTGCTGGGTCATCTGGTAACTGTTTAACTTTTTAAGGAACTGCCTAACTGGTTTTCACAGTGGCTCCACCGCTTTACATTCTCACTGATTCCTCCACGTTTCTCACCAACATTTGTTATGTTGCTTTTTTGGTTATCATTATACCGGTCCTAACATCTGAAGGGGTGTCTCACTGTGGTTTTGTTTTGCATTTCCCTGATGACTAATGATGTTGAGCATCTTTTCTTGGGCTCATTGGCCATTTGTACACCTTCTTTGGTGAAATGTCTATGCAAGTCCTTTGCCCATTGTTTAATTGGGTTGTTTGTTGTTGAATGATAAGAGTTCTTTATACATTCTGGATAGTATCAGATATATAATTTGCAAATATTTTCTCCCATTCTGTAGGTTGCCTTTCACTATTTTTTGGCCCTATTCCTCTAAAAACAATTGACCAGAGTTTTTTCTTAGTTCCTTTCTATTGTTACTTCTACCTTGCTGCTGAGTTCCCAAGGAAAAGAACTTGGAGGCGGTTTGGAGGCACAGGCAGGGAACGTGTGCAGGGAACATGTTGGGTGTCTGAATATTTTCAGGTTTCTTTGGACATTTCGGGGTGAGTAGATGTTTTGTGTTTTCAAGGTGTCTTTTGTCTCCAACTGAAGATCGTCCAAACTCTGAAATCTCGAGGCAATTTTATGGTTTTTCTCAAACATAACTAAAAGACACTGACCCCTGCTAGCTTCATTAGGAAATGAGCTATTGTGTTGATTTCCTAACAAAACCCCTGCTTTCTGAGAACTTTCACTTCCTGCGGTGCTTTGGGACGGTCAGCTGCTTGTCGAGAGTGATCAATCTTGATTCCTCAAAAGCTGTGGCTGGAATTCTAATGACGATATATTATGAACTGGCTTTTTGCATTAATAAGTCTTAAGTGGTATTGTCCCAACAAAATGGTAATCTAGAGATTAGATTCAAATAAAAAGCTCTTTGTGATTAAATAGGTTTTTGATGTTAAATGGCCAGTCATGCCATGAATAACTGACTCATCAAAAATGAGAACAGGGCTTCCCCGGTGGCGCAGTGGTTAAGAATCCGCCTGCCACTGCAGGGGACACGGGTTCGAGCCCTGGTCCGAGAAGATCCCACATGCCGCAGAGCAATGAAGCCCGTGCACCACAACTACCGAGCCTGCGCTCTAGAGGCAGTGTGCAGCAACTACTGAGCCCGTGCGCCACAACTACTGAAGCCCGCGTGCCTAGAGCCCGTGCTCCGCAACAAGAGAAGCCACCGCAATGAGACGCCTGCGCACCGCAACGAAGAGTAGCCCCCGCTCACCGCAACTAGAGAAAGCCCACGCGCAGCAACGAAGACCCAACACAGCCAGAAATAAATAAATAAATTTTTAAAAAATGAGAACAAAAGCTTCTCACATTTTAACTAAGATTTAGTTGACAACCAAATACTGGCAACTTTAACATGCTTTTCAAAATTACTTTTGCATGTAATACTTGGACCCAAGCAAAGCTTGAACTCCCTCTCTCCACCCCAAACCAGTCCGAGCATTTTGGCAACCGTATGATTAGAGGTATTAGGCTCTCATGGTACACAGTGATGTATGATGGGTGAAAGTTTGCTTAAAAATTAGAAGGAAAGGGTACTTTCAAGATTGTACCACTGGAATTGCAAATATAATGAAGCCAAAATTCTGTTCTATGACTTTTCTTCCTACTTTATCTATGACTCAGTAATGAACCTTGGGTGACGGAATGTGAACTGACTGCTCCCTGCTACTCGAGGACAAGCTAAAAGGGCACTTAATATTTCTGGGTAATTATTAGAAATAAGAATAGTATGGGGTAATGCCCATTAGCACTTACACAGCACTTACTGTGTTCTATCAGTGTGGAAGGTTCTTTACATGGATTAACTGACTTAATCCCAACAGCACCATAATGCAGTTCCTACTGTTATTTCCATTTTACAGATGAGAAAACTGAGGTCCAAAGAGTCTAGTTAAGATGCAAAGCAGTCTGGCTCCAGAGCCCACCTTTAACTATGATAATGAGTTAAAGAGAAGTATCCCCAGTGATAGGGCTAAAAGTGGGTGTAGGGAAGTAGGAGGTTATTCATTTTTCATAAGATTAAAAAAAACCCCGTAAATCAAAACCACAAACTGTATAAAAATGGAGTCTATCTCGCAAGGAGCTGAGAATTGAAGGCGTGCTGAGATGAGCACCTCTTTGTATCCTCTGTTCAGCTTTGCAGGCAGCAGCAAACAACAGCAACGACCATAGAACGAACTCTGCCCCCCTGTAAGGGTGCCGGAGTAGCCTTCGAAGCACATTAACGCGATTCAAAGTACGTATACAGCACACCTGTGTCTGCACGCATCTTGGTTGGCCCTTAATTCAAGCCTGCTTTCCAATGTCTTTTACTTTCTTGCTAATGTCCTTTGACACATAAAAATGTTTAATTTTGATGAAATCCAATTTATTTATTTTATTTATTTTTGTTGTTTTTGCTTTGAGCTTTTGGTGTCATATCTAAGAGCCCATTGCCAAACCCAAGGTCATGAACATTTACTCCTATGTTTTCTTCTAACAATTGTATAGTTCTAGCCTTGTATTTAGGTTGTTGATCAATTCTGAGTTATTTTTGTATGTGGTGTGAAGTAAGGGTAGAACTTCATCCTTGTGAGTGGGAATCCAGTTGTCCCAGCATCTTCCATGGAAGAGAATATTCTTTACCGCATTGAATGGACGTGGCACCCTTATCAAAATCAGCTGACTATAAATGTTTTAAACGAGGTTTCTTTTTTTCATTTTCACAAGATGATCATGTGGTTTTTTTCTCTTTATACTATTCATGTGATGTATGACAGTGACAGATTTTCTTATGTTGAACCACCCTTGCATTCTTGGACTAAATCCCACTTGGTCATGATGTATAATCCTGTTAATATCTTGTTGGATGCAATTTGCTAGTATTTTGTTGAGGATTTTTGCATCAATATTCATAAGGAATATTATCCTGCGGTTTTATTTTCTTGTGATGTCTTTGTCTTGCTTTGATATCAGGGTATGAGTTCAGAAGTCCTCCCTCCTCTTTAATTTTTTAGAAGAATTTGAGAAGCCTCAGTGTTAGAATTCACCAGTGGGCTACCTGGTCCTGGCCTTTTCTTTGTTGAGAGGTTTTCTTTTTTCTTTTTTTTGAAAAGTTAACATTAAACTGAGATACTTGGTTTGTGGGGTCATCGAGGGGAATCTGGGGAATTAAGGATTATGTATAATTTAATTCAGGCCCGTAACAGTTTCTTAATTTATTTCCCTGCAATAGACTTTCCCATATTCTGGCCATTCCAAATGTCACGGGTAATTATGTTTTCTAAATCATTTCTTTTCTCTGTCACACAATACTCAGAAAGCTTGACTGTCTTCCTATTGCTTGTAGAATTAATTTAAAAAATTTTAGCCTTGCACTCAGTCTTCCCTTTGACTGTTTCTCACCTAAGCTCTAAAGGAACTGCTTCTCCTGTCCTCGTGGGAACTATGTTCCAGGGAAACTGGTTTATTCATTCTCACGTCCGTACCTACTTCCTTCTGGTTAAACCTGAAGTAGGGAAGTGTTCAGAGCAAAGTCCTACCAATTATAAGCTGTGATATTGAGTGATCATCCCAAAGGCACCTGTGTGCATTTTTAATTCATGTTAGGCTTTTTAAATAAAGAGGCTTTAAGTGGAGACGATTCTGCTGATGTTACGTGCTCTACCTCAGTGCAAATGTATATTGCCTGTGTTTTTCCCAGACCTTAGGGACAGTAGATTATAGTCACGCTCTGCTAACCTCATTTGTTCCAGGAAAAAGTAGAACAATTTCAGAGGAATATCATGGCCAACCATCTGCTGGTCCAAGTGAGCAATCTGGAAATCATGCTAGGTCCCCCTCCCCCCTCCCCAACAACCCCCAGGACCTGCCTGAGTTCTTCTTAACCAGCTTTCCCCTCCATGCCCTCCACCCCGGGCCACAGCCCTGCTCACCACCTGCCACCTTTCACCCGAAGCATGGCGGCCCAGATACTCCTGACCTCTGCATCCCATCTGTCTGCGTTGCTGCAGAGCCGTTTTCCCGATGCATAACTCTGCTTCCGTGACCCCGCAGCTCGGAATTCTTCAGGGACTCTCCGCAGCCTGTAAGATAAAACACGAATTTATTGGCCTGACAGATGAGGCCCTTCATAGGTGTCCAGCCTGAACTGCCTCATGTTTAGTGGTCCGGCAATAGTAGGTTATCTGTCTCCTCAACCATGAGCACTTTGATGAGTTTCCCCATCCCTAGTTTGGAATTCTCTCCTCCTGGGTGTCCCCTGGGCTCATCCTCATTCTTCAGATCTCAGCTGAGTGTCATGGATTCTGGGACCCCTTCTTAACTCCCCAGCCAGACTTCTAGCTGCTTCTCCTTTTCCTGCCCCTCAGGCTTAGCGTCACTACAGCACATACCACGTCAACTGTCATTTATTTGCATATCCGTATAAGGAAAAACCTCTGTTCGGTCTTTTCCCGAATAGAGAATAACCCGGTTCTTCCCTCCCATGTTTCTCTTCTTTATTCCTCGTACAAAGCACCTCACTTCTGACGCTTCTGGTCACCAAATGTGTGGGAGGTTTTCCCACACCACACCAAGCAATTCCCATGACACCAGCTGGGTGTCCTGCAATTTAAGTCAATTCTAACACTGTGTACCTGGAGACAGCGTCAGATCCCACAGGTTAAGGGCTCAGCCCCCCAAGGCTGCTCCCTGTCCCACAGATGACGGTCACAAGTCCCCAAGTTACCCACACCTTCTGTAGGATTTGGCTACAAATCAGAGGTTCTCACGACCCCCTCCTCAGGGTGGGTTAATTTGTTGCAGTGCCTCAAAGAATTCAGGGAAACACGAACGTTTACCAGTTTATGAAAGGATATAGTAAAGGACAGATGAAGAGATGCACAGGGCGAGGTCTGGGAGGGTCCTGAGCGCAGGAGCCTCTGTCCCCCTGGAGTTGGGGTGCGTCACCCCCCTCCATGTGGCTGTGCTCACCCACCTGGAAGCTCTCTGAACCCCACGCTAGTGGGATTTTACGTACGGAGGCTTCCTCACGTGGGCATGATCCATTATTAATTCCATTTTTCAGATCTTCTCCCTTCTCAAGAGAGTGTGGGGTGGTGGGGCTGAAGATTCCAAGCTTCTAATCACAGGTGGGTCTTTCCAGTGAGCAGCCCTCAACCAGGAGCCCGCCCAGAGTCACCTCATTAGAACAAAAGACACTCCTATCACCCAGGATATTACCAGGGTTTCAGGAGCTCTGTGTCAGGAACGGGGATCAAAGACCAAATATTAGAACAAGAGATGCTCCTCGTGTTCTCATCACTTAGGAAATTACAAGGGCTCCGGAGCCCTGTGCCAGGAACCGGTGGCAGACTCCAGTGCACATTTTTTCTATTATCTCACAATATCTATCTGGTATCGTGAGGCCAGGGACCGTGTCCCCTACCACGACGTCTCCAGACCCTAGTGTAACTCCTGGTCTATAGAGTAGGTGCTCAATAAAAGTTTGTGGAATGAATAAACAGTCACAGCACCAGCTAGTGCGTCACGGTTGCCATTTCATGCACGCTGGGTGGTTCAGGTAATAAAGTTATTAAAGGCGATGCGCAAACATCAAGTTCGCCAGGAATAACGCCGTAGATGACCCCAGGACCTGGCCGTGGTGCTGCTCAGACAGCCCACAGGAGGAGAGCGCCCCAGGGTCCTCGTGCAGGTCTCACGTTGCCTTGGAGGTGGGATGGCCCTGGGAAGAGAGAGGAAGCATGTGTGCTGGTGGCAGTTGGGGTCGGGGAGGGGAACGCGGCAGAATGACAGAGGGGCGGATGATGGAGCCCCTCCCTTGACCCTTGCCCTTCTTCCTGATGAGGGGCTGAGGTTCTCTACCTCAGGCTGGATGGGAGTCTAGAATATGCTGGAACCACTTGCTTTGTTTAAAAAGGACAATGTTCTGACCACCCTCCCCACGCAGGAATAATGAAAATGCATATATCTCAGGTCCCTTTTGGCTTTTGTCCTGTGACTGCTGTAAAACATTAATGAACGGAAACCTGTTAAACAGAGTCGGGAGACCAGCAGGGGGCGCTCTTACCCCTGCACTGACAGCCCAGCTCAACAGAAGAAAGACTCCCATTCTTTCCCGCCAGGACTCAGCCAATGAAAGGCTGCGGCTCTGCTTACTAAGCCCGCCTCCTCCCTTGTCCCGCCTATAAGTGTCTCCTTCCTCTGCCGTGTGGGCACTTGCACGTGGCTGCCGTGGTTGAGCCCCCGAATTGCAATTCTCTGCTGATCCTGAATAAACTCATCTTTGCTGGAGAATACCTGGCCATCTATTTGCTTCAGGTCAACGTACCCAAGCCTGCATTTTGCAATCAACCCCCCTGCCCTTTGTGGGAAACCCAGTGAGTCTTCAAGGGCATCCCACTCCCCGAGCACTAAGCCTGGCCGAGAAGGCACCCTCCTGGATCTCCAAGGCCACTGCTCTGTAAAGCAGGTCCCATTCCAGCCCCCGTGCCATGGGGGCAGCAGCTGGGGGGTCTTGGTGCTCCCCAGGCAGCACAGACTGGCTGAAAGTGGCCTCGTGACAGCTGAGCCCTGCTCGCCAGAGTTTTTTTTTTGTTTGCTTGTTTAGTTTGAGCAGCTTCGTCGCCACAGGGCCCCATCAGGACTGCTCTGGTCAAGCCACTAGGTCTGCTCATTTGGCATCTGAGGAGGCAGTTCTTGAGTTCCTCATGCAGATTCATCCAGCTCCCTTCAGCAGTGACCTGGGGCCTCAGGGCAAGGCTGCCAGAGTCAGCTGCACCCTCGCAGACCCTATCCCAGACAGCAGGTTCTGGTTCATCTCGCTCTGCGTTGCATTGTGAAATGGATCGCCCAGGTGATTCCCGACCAGATGAGAAAGTCAGCTTCTCTAGATGAGAAGAAAGAGAGAGAAAAAGTGAGAGAGCGAGCGAGCGAAACCTCTATTCAGTTACTTAACTATGTCTTAAAAATTTATGATCAGGAATATTAAAAAAACTCAAGTAACAAGATTCTCTTAATTTAACTCAGATTTTAAGTGACAGTATAATTGCAAAATAATTGAATAAAGTAAAATGACTGAAACCCAGATTCTGAAGAACATCTTCCAGGTTTCAGGTCATTCACAGCATAGATGAGCCCCCTCTAAGCCTTGCAGAGCCTCACCTCTGGGCACCTGTCCTTCAGGTGCTGGGTTAACGTATCAGGCTGGAAAGTGCAACTTTCATCTGAGCCATTAGATGAAAGACCTAAATAACACAAATACTTATCAAGCTCGAAATAAGCAGCGTTGCTTTGCTTCACTATTGTCCTCTGGACAGAACAATCATTTTTCAGTTTAGAGTTTCCTTTAAATCAATTTCCTAAGTTCCTAGTACCTTATGGTTGTTTCTGATTGTTGCTCTTTGGAAAGCAAATGACGTGCTCAGCTCTGTTCCATCCTTAAAACACACACCTTCCTTCCAGCTTACCTGCAGCTCTGGCCAGCACTCTCTCCCTCTCCCAAAGAGCTACCTCCACACCTCTCCGTGCCCGGATCCCATGCACCCTGGTGTTTGTCCCACTGTCACTGAGGGGACTGCTGACCTGCAGCGAGAAGCGGCCTCTTCCCGTCCTCACTCTCTGCTTCCTCCAGGACCAGCAGCTGATGCTATACCTACCGGCCCTGCTTCCCACAGCCCAACGTCTTCCTGCCCCCGCCTCCATCTTCCTGGCTGTGGGCCAGCACAACCCGCACACGGCTTCCAGCACCTTCATCCCGTACCTGAGTCTGTTCCTACCGTCTCCTGGACACCTTCACCATGAGCCCCTTCTGACTCAAACCAATTCTTCATCTGACCTTCCCCTCTCCTCCCCTCGTATTCTCTCAGGTAATTACATCACCTTGAATTCAATTATCCGAGTTGGGTAATTGGAACACCACTCTTTCCCTGGTCCCTCCCCGCAGGCCACCTGCTCATCAGATCCTGCGATTTCTGCCCCCTCATCAGCCCCGGCCTCACCAGCATTACCGCCAGTGGGTTGAGGCCCACCTGCCTGTGCTCATATCCCTGAGGGCCACTCCTAAGTGGCCCTGCTACTCCTTGCTCTGCGTCCAACCCATCCCAAGGGCAGTGCTAGAGTCAGGTGAAAAGGGAGGGAGGGAAGGAAACGAATGAGTGAATAAAAGAATGAGTCATGTTACTCCTTCAGTTAGAATCCTACAACGGTTCCTCATTGCTTGACAGATAAGACCCCAGTTCCTCAGGACGGCCTCGGGGCTTTTTCCAGTCCAGCCCAGCCCAGCCCGACCCTTTCAACCCTACTTGGCCTCACCTTGGCCACTCCCCGGCCCACATCCTGTACCCCACCCTGAAAGCACCTCCCAGGAGCCCTTTCACACACTCCCGGGATTGACCCTGCCTGGGCGGCTCCTCTTCCTCTCTCCACCTGGACAGTCACCCCTCCCCCAAGACCCAGCTCCCCTGACACCCCCGTGAATCTGTCCCAAGCCCCACGGCATCATCGCTGGCTCCATCCTTCTGTTCCCATCACGCTGTGTGCGTGCCCATCAGAGCCGCCGCCCACTACACTGAGACACAATCTCTTTTTCCCATCCATCTGAACGGCGAGAAGGGAAAGGACCGTGTTTTATTCCTCAACTCCATTATGACCTGATACAGTACTCAGTACAATAAATGTCTAACACATGGAGTTTGGGGTTTTCCAGCTCTGCTACCTAGTGGGGCTTCAAGGGTATGAAGGTGCTATGAGTCCAAGCATCTGAATGTGAAAGGTGGTTTCCGGTTTGAAAAAAAAAGGAAGTCACTGGGGACTTCCCTGGTGGCACAGTGGTTAAGAATCCGCCTGCCAATGCAGGGGACACGGGTTCGAGCCCTGGTCCAGGAAGATCCCACATGCTGCGGAGCAACTAAGCCCACATGCCACAACTACTGAGCCCATATGCCACAACTACTGAAGCCCACGCGCCTAGAGCCCGCTCTCTGCAACGAGAAGCCACTGCAGTGAGAAGCCCACGCACCTCAACAAAGAGTAGCCCCCGCTTGCTGCAACTAGAGAAAGCCAGCACGCAGCAACGAAGACCCAACGCAGCCAAAATAAAAAGATATGAAGAGCTAAGTATCATAGGTTGCTGACAGAACATGCTCTATGTCATTTGGAGGACTTCTGTTGTTTGTAGGAAACATTGCAGTGTTCACTGTCTCTACGGAAACCGGATAGATGTAGATAGTTGCCTGGAACTTATTTTATGCCCCCGTTTGGAGAGCAGAGGTTCTAGCTAGCCCTGGACCAGCCTCAGAGTTTTGCATTATAGATGTGTGGTAAATATCCATGTAATTAGCTTGGGTTAGTAAGCAATTGACCTAATCATGGATGGTTTAACCCATTAGGGTAAGTTTTTGTTGCTTATCTAAGGCCCCAGTTGACTATTTAGAGACGACCTTTCTTGGCTCATTCACTGTGGTCTGATTTCTAAAAGACGTGGCTAAGTCAATCCAAATCCATCCCTACCACGCACGTAAAGCAGAAACGCTCTTTACGTTTTGCAAGTCAGTCAATCCACGCAATACTGAAAAATGCACGTGGAATGCATTAATGACACAAGAGTCACAGTGAGAGGCCCAGAGTTAGGAGAGGACCACCTTCTCCTCCTTTTGTGTTGGAGCTGAAATGTCAGCAGGACAAATGCACTGACTCAGGGAGATGTTTACTGGCTGCTCTGTGGTCGGGTCGTGCGTGAGTTGCTGCGTGTGCTCTAATGTCAAAACTGACTTGTGTTAAATGACCTGGATACGGGTCACAACATGCTTTTTGAGTGTTTTGTCCAACAAATTATTTCCAACATTTGAAAGAAGGATTATTTTCAAAACTAAAACACAATGAGAGAAAACATTGACCTGTAACAATCCCAAATTCATAAATAAAATGAGCTGTGTTTAGAAACCATGATCAAGATTTTGTTCATCTCTGTTTCCACAGGACTGACTGTAAATGCAGACTGCTTGATCCACACCTGAAAGGCTCTGTTTCCTTTTATCTTACAGTGAGTACTGAGGTCCTTTGAAATGGACTTCAAACAAGTTCCCCATCCAGGGACATTTGGGGAAAGAAAATGCCATTTTATTGCTGAGTGAAGGCCAGATGTTCTGTCAGCGTTGGCAGCAGGGACCAATTAGCTGGGATCAGAAAGAAAACGGCATTCTCTGGAGTCATTTTTGTTGACATCATTGTTATATCTGAGGTGAATTCTGTAAACATTAGACACCAGTGAATCACCAAGTCCTACTGAGCAATAACTGTGTGTGTCCTTCTGCAAACAGGCTGGGGTGCTCTTTCCTCACCATTGACCCCCCCAAACTCAGCTTCCAAGACAATTACCATGGCTCATTCTGTGAGTGAAGGTCCAAACACGGAAAAGCCTTGAGGGAAACGAAGATGCGGGTGAGACGCAGGAGTTCCTTGCCTTTCCATCCTCCTCGTGGCCTGTGGTCCAGAGAGAGTGTGACGCTCTCCATCGGCGAGTTAATGACTGAACAACAGGAATCAGGAAGAGCGGAGAAAAAGCACGGAAGAGCTCTGAGGAACGGTGGAGTGATGACCTTTAGATCTTCAGCCGTGAGGCTCTGGAGACAGTTTGCCAGGGGTCTTGTTTAAAGAATGCCAGCAACCTCTTCCCTCTGTAAATCAGTGGCTAACGGGGGGGGGGGGGTGGAAATCCCGTAAGCATTTCCAGTGAAACCACATCAAGCTGGTGTTTCATGCTTGGTTAGAGACAATTGAGACCCAGGCCTTTGTCACACACGACCTGTGATCGGAGTAGTTCTTCAATTGTGTACTCATATCATCTATTTTTAAATATCTGATTACTTTTGGGTTTGATTCTGTTTTTCATTAAAAGCCTGTTCAGATATTAAGTTATGAAAATGTGATAAATATGCATTCGACAACTTTATGCTAAGAGAAATCTTTCTAGAAGGATACTGAGCCTAGAATTATTGGCCTACATAATTTGGAAACAGTTCTCCAACCTAATTTGAATCCAGACAGGGTGGTAGAGAATACTGGTCTACAGAACCCCTGCCTAGGTCTCCCTGCCAAGTAAACCTATTTTTATTTACTTTTTATTTTTTTTATTTTTTATCATTTTGCGGTACGCGGGCCTCTCACCGCTGCGGTCTCTCCCGCTGCGGAGCACAGGCTCCGGACGTGCAGGCTCAGCGGCCATGGCTCACGGGCCCAGCCGTTCCGCAGCACATGGGATCCTCCCGGAGCGGGGCACGAACCCACGTCCCCTGCATCGGCAGGCAGACTCTCAACCACTGCTCCACCAGGGAAGCCCAAACCTATCTTTAGAAAAAGCAAATGAGGTTAGGAATGGCTTGCTCTTTTGTGGAGTCATGCTGGCTTCCTGTGCTTATTTTTTTATTTTCTAGGTATTAACATACTAAAATGTAGGTAGGTTAAGTAATTTACTCTATCAGAGGTATTAGCCACTGCAATCAAACAGGAGAAAACAGTCAGAGACATGAAAATTGGAGGAAGAAATACAACTATCTCTATTTGCAGGTGATATAATATAGCTGTAGGACTCAAGGACTCAAAAGAATCAATTAAAAAAAAAACTCATCCAAATAGTAAGAAAATTCAGTAAGGCAGCAAGTTATAAAGTTAACACATAAAAACAATGTTCTCCTATTCAAACAGAAGCCAGTTGTAAAACATAATGGAAGAAACGTGCTTACTTATAATATCACCGGAAAGATGATAAAATAACTAGGAATAAACTAAATAATAAATGTGCCAATCTTCTATGAAGAAACCTTCAACAGTCCTGAAAAACAAAAAAACATATTTGAGCAAATAGACAGAGCCTGTTCTCAGCTGCGCAGGGGACCGTCAGAGTTTCCCTTCTACTTGTCTGGGTCCTTTGGCTGGTCTAATCGTTGAACTGACATAAGATAGATTAACAGAAGAAAGACAAATTTAGTTTCATATATGGGAGTCCCATGAAAATATAAGACCCAAAGACAGGCAGTTGAGGCTTATATGCCATCCTGAGCTAAGGAATGGGGTGGGGCGGGGCTTCACGGGGCGGGGCGTGGGGGCATTCACTGGACCGTAAGGAGAGCAGATGTCTGCCCCGCTGTGCAGGTAAGTCTTTCAGGTGAAAAGTTATCTCTGGTCACAGCTCTCTTTCTCGGCTAGGCCCCCTATCTACATTCTTTTAGGCAGTTAAGGGAGAGGTTAAAGGTTTTCCTGAGTCTGCTGGGTCTTGGTTGCCTTCTGCTCAAAATAATCCACATGCCGGGGGGCACATTTTGGGGTGGCATGTTCTGCTCCCCTTCAGAGAGGACAGCTAAATCAGGAAGCAATGTTAATTCACCACAGGTAAATTCAGTATGATTCTAACAAATATACCAACACTTTTTTTTTTTTTAGAGTTAGACAAGTTGACTCTCAAGTTCATATGGGAAAATAAAGAAGCAGAGAAAGCCAGGAAAACCCTGAAAGAGAGGAGCGATGAGGAGACTGCCCCGCACCAGGTAGCGACTCGCATCAGGAAAGCTCTGTAGTTGAAAGAGTGACAGATGTGGCTGGATATAACGTTCAGAGCCAGGCATATACAGAAACAGGATATGGGTCCAGAAACGTGCAGACAGCTATTTGGTGTTTAATAAAGGTGGCCTGTCACATCATCAGTGAAAATACAGACTTTGTAACAAATGGAGTTGGAACAACCGGAAAGCCATTTGAAAGAGGAAAAGTTGGATCTACATTTCCCAAACACCAGGATCAACTCTAAATGGATCAGCAGTCTAAATGTAAAAAACAAAACAAAACACAAAAACAGGGGCTTCCCTGGTGGCACTGTGGTTGAGAATCTGCCTGCTAAAGCAGGGGACACGGGTTCGAGCCCTGGTCTGGGAGGATCCCACATGCCGCGGAGCAACTAGGCCCGTGAGCCACAACTACCGAGCCTGCGCGTCTGAAGCCTGTGCTCCGCAACAAGAGAGGCCATGACAGTGAGAGGCCCGCGCACCGCGATGAAGAGTGGCCCCCGCTTGCCACAACTAGAGAAAGCCCTCGCACGGAAATGAAGACCCAACACAGCAAAAATAAATTAATTAATTAATAAACTCCTACCCGCAACATCCAAAAAAAAAAAAAAGCCTTAAAAAAAAAACCATACAAATACTGCAAGAAAACACTGGTGAACTCTATAATCTGGAGAAAGACTTTTAATTATGATGCAAAAATCTATAGACCATAAAGGAAAAATCATTAAATTTGACTACATAAAAAAGATATATGCTAAAATCACCAGAAGCAATGTCAGAAGACAGATGAGAAGCTGGGAGAAAATATGTGTGACATATCACAAAGACTAATTATGCTAATATATAAAGAGCACTTAAGAACCAAGAAGAAAAAGACCAAACCATTTTTAAAAATGAACAGAAGTCATGAGCAGGTCACAGGGTAAAAAATAAATCAGAAAGAGGCAATGGCTTTTAAACATATGAAAAGCATATGATGTTCAACCTCACTCACAGTAAGGGAAATGCTAATTAAACTACCTGAGACAATATTTTCTGACCTATCAGATTGGTAAAAATCCAAAGATATCCAGGCATCACTGTTAGTAAGTCTGTGAAGAAGCACTCGGATATAGCTGGTGAGAGGAAACAATTCCTAACAATTCCAATTTGACAATAACTAATAAAAATATATCTGTATTTAACTTCTGATCCAGCAATCCCATTCCTAAGAATCTAGGAATCATACAAAACAATATTCACACCAAGTTTTTGCTACTGAACGTGTGGTCTGTGACCCAGCAGCATCAGCTACCAGAGAGCGTGTTACAAATGCAGCACCTCAGGATCTAGTGAACTGGAAGCTGCATTTTCTTTTAACATCTTTACTGGAGTATAATTGCTTTACATTGTTGTGTTAGTTGCTGCTGTATAACAAAGTGAATCAGTTATACATATACATATGTCCCCATATCTCCTCCCTCTTGCATCTCCCTCCCACCCTCCCCATCCCACCCCTCTAGGTGGTCATAAAGCACCGAGCTGATCTCCCTGTGCTATGCGGCTGCTTCCCACTAGCTATCTATTTTAGGTTTGGTAGCGTATATATGTCCATGCCACTCTCTCGCTTTGTCACAGCTTACCCTTCCCCCTCCCCGTGTCCTCAAGTCCATTCTCTAGTAGGTCTGCGTCTTTGTTCCCGTCCTGCCCCTAGGTTCTTCAGAACCATTTGTTTTTTAGATTCCATATATAGGTGTTAGCATACGGTATTTGTTTTCTCTTTCTGACACACTTCGCTTTGTATGACAGTCTCTTACAATCATTATCTACAAATAACTCAATTTTGTTTCTTTTTATGGCTAATATTCCATTGTATAAATGTGCCACATCTTCTTTATCCATTCATCTGCCGATGGACACTTAGGTTGCTTCCATGTCCTGGCTATTGTAAATAGTGGAAGCTGCATTTCAACAACACCCTCAGACCGTTTGCACGTGCATTACAGTTTGAGAAGCCCCGCACTAGGTTTTATATGGCAGCGTTATTTGCAATGACGTAAGACTGGAAACAACCCAAATGGCCATCAGTGGCACACAATGAAATACAGTGCAGCCTTGAAAAAGAATAAGGATGATCTCTATGTGCCAAATTAAAAAGAGCTCCAAAATTGAGTGTTAAGTGAAAAAAGCAAGTTGCAGAACTATCGACAGATAACGGATGGACAGATGGAGAGACAGAATGCTACCCTTTTGATAAGAAAGGAGTGGAATATATATACATATACTTTTTTTTTTTTTAACCTGAAGAAACCTTGGAGGAAAGAACCAAACCAAAAGTGATAATCTGAGATCACAGTATTGCAATTTGGGGCACACAGATTCGGGTAGGAACCCAAACCGAGTCACACTGGGAGTAGTAAAAGGAGTCAGGGGCTTTTAAAGGCACGGAAGGCAGGTTGCCGTACTAAGAATTTCAGCTGCCGATGGTGGCAGTAGCTAGTCTTGGCTGACCCTGACTGATCGCTAAGGCCATCACTAGAGGGAGGGGAAGGTCTTACTGTGACAAGTTGCAGGTTGTTCTTGCAGACTCCTTGGAGCTTTTGTGGTTCCGCCCAGTTCAAAGGTTTGTCATTCTACCTGGCGAGGCCGTGCATAAGTCCACCTCCGTGATGGCCTTCCAGCTCCATTTAAAACCCGGTGACATAGTGACTCAATTTTATTTCTCATGTCACAATATATTTATGTTGCTTATTTCTGCAAGAAGATAAGCTGGAAGGATAAAGCTCAGCTAATAAACTTGGGGTGAAAAGGACTGGAGAAGATAAGGGTAGAAGCGAGATATCTCGAAACTTCGTCAATGTTTACTACTCCAAAAATAAAATTAAAACAGTCACTCTGGGAGAGGGATGGCAGGGTTTGCTGCCGGCATCTAGTGGGTAGAGGGGCCAGGACAGCCCTCCTGCAACAAAGACTTATCGGGCTCAGAGGTAAATATAGTGTCGATATTGAGAGCCCCTGGCTTAGGCTAAGGGCAGAAGAGGCACTCAACTACCTGAGGTTTACAAAATTGAACTTATCATTTTGAAGACGAGGATAGCATTTTCCCCACTGCAGTCACCCGAGCCCTTTCCGTTCTCCAAGACTGCTCCGAGGTGGCAGACCAGGATTCCACAGCATTTGTGTAATCTGTCGGTTCCCTGGAGTCCGATTCACACGGGTCGGATAACTGGGCCCTCTGCACACCCAGGAAGAGCGCGGTCTGCTCTGCGCTGTGCGACTCAAGCCCACGTGCCGGGGGGGGGCACCTTTCTGGACTAAGACACAGCGACACCCTGGTCGCCCCACTGAAAGCCTCCGGAGAGCCGGGCCTTCGTTCCATCCACGCCCCAGGCGGCCCCGGGTACGCAGTCACCACCCTGGGAGCGGAAAGGACTCGGCGGCGCACCTGACGCACCTGGCACCCCTGGCGCTCCGCGCGGCCCCGCCCCGCCCCTCCCGCGCGGCCCCACCTCCTGGCCGCGGTATTTGGGGACCCCGGGGCCGTTGTCACCTCCGCTGCCGCCTCGCCCGCTCCGGCCGCGCGCCCGGTGAGTGTCCGGGGCGCTCGGGCCCTGGCGTTGGGCCTGCGCGCGAGGCGGGGAGGCGGGCGGGCGGCC